ATTACAATGTCTCAAGAAGCCTACAGTTACTTAAGTTCATTTGCTTCACCCATATTTATTTTTTTTTAAACTTGGTTGCTAGCTACAAGTACATCTGTTGGATTGTGTGCACTGTTGCTGAACAAGTATAAGAACTATCTCATCATCAAGCATCATTTTCCTGTTTTAGCTATTTATAGACTGAGTGCCCAAGTTCTCTTTTGATCTTCTCTTTGATAAATAATCTGACCTGCTTAACTCTGTCACTGCAAGAAATTTTAAAAATGCAAAGGGTTTTTTTATAACTACTTAACTCCCTAGAATTTGGGGGAATTTAATTAAAAACAAAGTTAAAAACTTTGAGCTCCTCTCTCTCACAGTCATTCTGAAGTTAATGCTCTTTTCTCTACTCTCTGCTTTCTCAGTCCTTACCTTCTGTTTTTGTATTATTTCTTCTGGTCACTTTTCTATTTTTTGCCCCAAAGACTTTTTGCTATAATTTGCTCCTGTTCATTTTTTTTTTTCCCAGGTAGTTTGAAGTCTAAAAGAGCAAGGCTGAGAGAGATGCATGCCAGGTGTTTTCTGATATGCTTGGAGTTAAGAATATAGATCTTTTTGGAAAGACTTCAACGTTATTCTGTAAGGATGGAGATGTGAAAAGAGTCTCTCTATTAGGATTGACACTCCTATCCTCTAAATACCAGAGCAATGTTGTTAGCAGGGCACTGCGTGCCACGCAGTTGCATGGCTGTGAACAGTACAGAAATTATGACATTTTAAAAAGATTGGCAAATCTTTTGTCTGAATATGTTTCAATAATAAGCCAGCTCTGAAGTTAAATCAAAATACAAGCAATGCTAAAGGGACATCAAGATCTGGTGCCTTTTTTTGTTTTGTTTTTCTTGTGAACAAAATGTGATGGAGGCGGCTCAGTTGAGCTGCTCTGCAGCACAAGCTTTTCTGAGCAGGTCAAGCCCAGCCAGTGCTCATTTCCTTCAGAACTGAAGAAAAAGAAGATTATCTTTAATTTAAGCTAGACAGTGGCCTTGCACTAACATACTCAGTTTCCCTAAAAACCCTGTGATTGATATCTCTGATCCTTGGACACAGTGGCACTTGGCACTGTAAGGCTGAAGCTTGTCTGTGCAAGAGACAGGGATTTTCTTGCTTTGAAATCCAGAAAAAGGATCTGAGAATCAGCACAGATGCTGCTGTCTCCTGCTTAGAAAGCTGGGTGTGCTCATCAAACACCAAAATTTAGCAAAATAGCATGCTGGCATATGTGATTTTCTCTGCTGGAGAAAGGATGTCAGATAATGAATATATTTTAATTAAGTTGTGTACATCCAGGAAAATGTGTTCAAAATGCATCCAGGAGCGCATTTTGATTTTACTGCTGTAATCACGGGTCATGATACAAAGTTACAAAAAGATTATTATTTCAGAAATAATTCTTACGCATCTTCTACCTGAGAAAATCCATCCTGGGAAATCTTGGGTAGGTACAAAGCTGAAAACACAACATTGTAGGAATTTAGTAAGAAAGTAATTCTCACAGCTTAGGTAAATTTACCTATGTAACTATAATTGTCAGTATGACTACAGGGTTTTAATCTGTTCTCATTAAACTCCTAATCAGACTGTAGCTTCTGAATTTTTTAAGCAGGTCTTTGAAGTTCCTTATGTTCTTTGCCATAAAGGAGTCTGTTAAGGTATTAGCTCTCCTGCCAAGTAATTTCACCTGCAAGAACTCATAGGGAATGACTTTTAAGGAGGCAGAACCATCCAATTTTGTGTCTTGGGAATTTTAGTTTTCTTAAATTAATTTTTCTGAGACTTAAGGGGGAAGAAAAAATCTGGTTTTGCCAGCCCTCTGTTGTTGTACATTAGAAACAACCATTGTCTTTTGCAGCTGGTTTTATTAACAACAGCAGAAAAGAAAGGGGAAAAAAAAAAAACCCCTGAACTTCAAGGAAATCTTTTCTGTCCTGGTCCCAAGGCTTACACATCAGGCGAGGATGTGGCAAGGACTTCGTGGTGCTGTCACCTGGCTGTGGGATGTTGTCTCCTGGCTAACACAGCATGAGCGTAGCCGAGCTGCCCCCAGCTGTCCCCCCCGCTGTTGTCAAACCTCTGCTGCTCGCTTCTCGGGGGGGCGGAGGGGAAGCGTGAATCATGCCCTCACAATATTTGCAAATGTGTCAAAGCTGAGCAGGAAGGAGCCGCTTCCTCTTTCATGTCTTGCTAGGTGTCAGAGTAAAAAAGCTGGAGAAGAGGAGCATTGAAGTTGGCCAGTGAAGCACCAGGCATGTGGAGACCTTTGGCAAAATTACGAAGTGGAGCTGTCAGCAAGCGACCTTAAAACAAGAAGGCTTTTGTAACAGGCTGTGCCAAATTGCTTATGTTTTCCCGGTTTGAAAAATGCTGATCTGTCTTTGGGAAATCATGCCAAAGGGCTTGGGAAAATGCACCTTCCCATATTTATTTTCACAACCCAGAGGGCAGCAGGAAGTTTTTGTTTCTTAGCTTGTGGCTCTGGCCTGGTAACAGGGCTTTTGCAGACTTATGCTATTAAATAGATAGCAGTGCAAGGGACATGAGATTTTGATTTCGCTTATGCTTTAGTTTCTATTTTTAAATTCTTTTCCAACTATTAAAAAAAATCCACAGTCTAACGTCTGATAGTCTGAACACAGAAATCCAATTCTGGAGGATTACTCCTGTGCAATTGTAAATATTGAGGCCAAGAGCATGCAGGTGTGCTTTCTGAAACAGCACATGCGGGGATTAAGGGCCATATATTCAGAATATTTCCTTGTATTACTGAGGAAACACAAGTCAGGAGCCTGGCTTTTGTGAATGCCTGGCTTTTTTCTGCAGCAGGGACCTGAGTCATCGATGTACTGTGTTTTGGGAGGAGAAGGAAGATGTGTGGGTTGGGGAGAGGGTGCTGATACTTGCCTTGCACTCAATGACAGCTCCCCTTTGCGTGGATAGGTGCACTAATTTGTGGTGTAGAACGGGCAGCCATTTTTTCGCTGTGATTTTTGGAGCACAGGTGGAGCAGTTTTTTGTAGCATGCCCCTGTTGTGCTTTCTTGGAGCTGGTGCTTTGCGGCTGTTTGCCTGTCCAGCGGGGCAGCAGGGGAGAGGGCTGTGGGCCCATCGGTCCCACCGCTGGCATGTCCCGGAGCAGCCGCTCAGCCAGGTGCTCCTGCTTCGATAGAGAGGCTAAGAGGAGGAAAAGTTTCAAGTTGGAAGGAGCATCTCTGTTAAACTAACTAATGTAAAGTGTTGTGTTGTTTTCTTTTTTAGCTAAAGCTTCATCTATAGATACTCGGACTAAAAATTAAAATATTGTTTATTTGAAGTGCTCTGACTTCTTGACAGCTCTCTTCTGTTTACTCTGGGGTAAAACTGTTGAGAATGTGACCTCCTCACAGGATTTTTGCCCAGATGTGGAGGTTTTTTGGCATTTGTTTATTTATTGAAAGGAGGATGCCATGGTTTTTTGCTGGTCTCTAATTTGAGAATAACTGTGGGTCTTGTGATGGAGCTTGAGCTGGGTGTAGGCAGGTGCTGGGCAAGCGTCCTGGCACAGGTCTGCCAGCCAGCACTCCTGTTGGTACAGTCCTTCCTCGTTTTTCATCAGGGAACACAAATTGCACAATGTGGGTGTTCATTTATTTATTTAGTTTAACAAAACCTCATATGCTCAGGCTTGAAGCAAGGCTTAGGCTGGGATTTCAAGAAGCAAAAGGCCCCTGGACCTTTCCAATGGTGGTTGTTTAAAGTTGTCGGTGAGCTCTCTCCATACACGGTTTGTTAGCTTTGTGGCAATGGCTTGGGACACAGGGTTCGTCTCTGAACCAACCAGATAGGTAATCACTTCTGGCTCCTTCCTTCCCTTTGCTTTGGGTTTGGGGTATCTTTTTTTGTTGGCTGAGCCCTTCCTTGGAGGTAAAGCTGCTGTTGTTTCTATGGGGCTTTCCCCAGGAAACCATAATTAGGTAAGAGAAAGTGAGGAGGCTTTTCTGCCAGGCCACTAAAAGTGCAGCAAGCGGTGGGATTGCCAACCCATCCTGGCTCTCTTGTGGTGAGCGTTTGGCAAAGCTGTGGTGAGATCTGCCCGTTCCCCCGGCACGCGGGGGTGGCAGGGCTCCACAGGGTGACATGTGCCAGGCAGGGCCCCGCTCCTGTGGAGTGTGGGTGCTCAGCGTTCCTGCCCTCCTGGTTAGAGCTGAGGGCAGTGTTTCTTTCATGGTAGGTGCACAGTTTTGCTCTGGTAAGTGGGGGAAAATAACTTGCAAAGCCCTATAGAAAAAAAAGAGAGCTTTATTAGAGGTGTTACTTTAAAAATGAGGGATTTTTTAGTCCACCAAGGAGGATGAGATCATTATACAAAATGAATGATTGGGTTGTTCCACCCTGTGCTTTCTTCCTATAATTTCTTCTTGTTGCTGTTCTTGATGCAAAACCCCATGCTGCAGTGGCAGCCATCAGAGGTGTATGGAGATTGCCATGAGCTTGAGGTGTTTTGGGCCTCTCCGTGACTAACTACTCAAAGCGGATCTGCGTGTCCTAGGACATGAAACACTGGAGACTGCTGGTGCCTTTTGACAGCCAGGTCTTCTGAAGATGGGCTGGTAGTAGTATCTGTGCATAAGGGTTTGAAGACACATCAAAACTGAGCATTAGAGGTCATCCTTTCCTCTATTTTTTGGTGTATTTCTGGTGTGCAGCAGTAGGGGAAGAGAAACATTTCTCAACTCATAAAAGTAATGAGGAGGATGCTAGTCCTAAAAGTCTTTTTTTAAACTTGTATACTAACACCGACTGGGTTTCAGTTTGACTGTTTCCTTTCTATTTTGGTTGAAGGGAAACCCTGCATTTCCCACAACATAACTAGTTCCCTGCTCTTCATATTACTCATTTGTTTTCTGTGTATATAGTAACACATAAAAAGTTACATGTATGCATGTATACATATCTGTATGTATGTATTTTTTAACCAGGTGCAAAATGACTGCTCAAGTGACACTGGAGGATGCCTTGTCCAATGTGGATCTCTTGGAAGAATTACCATTGCCAGATCAGCAACCGTGTATTGAACCCCCGCCATCCTCTCTACTGTACCAGGTATAGTTTTTCCATTTCCATTTGCTGTTAAGCAAGAGTATGTGCTTAAAAAAACAAAAAAAAAACAAACCAAAGTGTGTTTATATTTGCAATACATACAAAACTTCTTTTCCCTACCAAAGATTTAATTCTGTATTTTGCTTTTTGCCTTAGCCAAACTTCAACACTAATTTTGAAGACAGAAATGCATTTGTCACTGGCATTGCAAGATACATTGAGCAAGCTACGGTCCATTCTAGCATGGTAAGTAGATGTTCAGATATATACTTTTGTATTACTTGGAAAAAAAGGAGAGGAACACGTCTTCTTGCAGTTCACTGTAAGAATTGTGGTCACAGAAAACCAGAAACCAGGTTATATACAACACTTCCAGGAGGCAGTAAGATTAAAAAGTGTGTGGCTTTTCTTTTTTCGTTCATATACTTCTTGATAACTTTAACATTTCTTCTTGATCAGCCAATGTTGCTCAAAAGTTTCCTGCTTTCATTGTGTGTTTTTCCATTATGCTGAGGTGCATTAGTTGTATTGACAGCTAGCTGCTGTAACTTGAATGGAAAAATTACCTTCCAGCCTCCCAAATTTCCGCTATTTCTCTGTCAGTTTAGTGGTGTTGAAGGGTTTTTGCTGGCTTCCTCGCTGAGCAGTGTGTATATTAGTGGTTTATTGATGCCCTTTTGTGTAAGGTGTTCTGTGGTTTTTAACAGTTCCACAGTAGAAGATAAGACCTCATGCTAGTAACTCCATCTCTGCTGATGGCAGAGCTATTTTGAGATACAAAATAACTTGCAGGCTGCAAATGCTGGTCTGTGCTCAACTTGTCATTTCATGGCATTCATGGTAAATGAGGAATAATAATCTTGTAATTCTAGAGGCCACTTCACAAACAGTGGAATGAGCAAATTAAGCTCCTGATTACATGCTACTGAAAATCATGTGAATTTACACCAGATAATTTTAAAAGTAATCTGGTGACTCCTTAACCTGTTTTGATTGTTTGGATGTTGTTGGACCTCTCCTTTGACATGTTAAAAAGGATATTGCTCTGCATGTGCTGACTCTCTCATCTTTGACCATTCTACCTGCAGTGCACAAATTTAAAAAGAAAAACAAACACCACTCCGCCACCCAGATTAGCATTTTTATTTATATTTATAGATCACAGTGTCTTTAGTTTTGGGAAGAAAGAAAAACACAAAAAGCAATCTGATCTGGGGAGATGATAATTTGTGTCATTAGGTAAGCAGAATTGCTGCAGTTGTTGGCTAGTTATGATAGGTATTTGTTGGTTTAAGTGGTATGAAGATGGTGATGTGAATTCTCTCAGGATTAGGTTGGGTGCTACAACAGATGACTCAGAATAAATGGAATTTTTTTTTAGCTGTTGGATTATAGCCAAGCCAGACATCAATAGCTGGTCAGCTCTGATACATGTAATATGGCCGAAAGAGCTTGTGAATTATGGTAATATTACTTTACATGCATACACAATGATGTATCATTCAGCTTGCAATATATGTGTGTTTGTACATACACATTCTGGTAAAAGAAATAGGTTTGTTTGGGCAAGGGTTTGGAATGACAGAAGACAAGTGGATTTAACCCTTTTGTATTACAATGCTTACTTATATTGAGTGTCTGTCTTACAGAATGAAATGCTAGAAGAAGGTCAGGAATATGCTGTCATGTTATACACATGGAGAAGCTGCTCCAGAGCCATTCCTCAGGTAAAGGATGAAAATTAAACTGTCATGCAATATGTGCACTTCTGGCTTGTTTCGGTATGGAGCTGCAGAGATCGAGCTTTGTCAATGAGCTCCAAAATTTAGTCTAATTTGACTCCTGAATTGTTAAGCTGGGTATGCTGTAGAATAGTGTCTTTTAGCACTTGGGGACCAGGTGGATTTTTTTTTTTTAATAAGAGACCTATAGCAATACCTTGTGGGTTTTGTGTCAGTCAAGAGTAGAACAGGGGTAATGTGCTCTAGAAAGAAAACCTTTGATTGTTGGGTCTGTTTGAGGTCAAAATTTCATTCAAGAGAATGGACCCTTCCCACTCCCCAACTTAATACTTAAATTCAGAACAGGTTTAACAAGTAGTATACCATGTAACAACTAATGTTCAGGTTAAACATTTAAGTTTCTAGACATCCTAGATAGTAATTTTCTAAATGTCAGAGCTACGTAGTGTTTTCTTGATCTGTATACAAAAATACAATGCTGTGAATAGGTGACAAGTCAGCTGCAAGTGTCTGGGAATGGTTGTACAGGTGTAGAGTGGGAAGAATATTAAGATGCATCAGAAAACTGAACAAAATTTCAACCATGAGTTGACACCTGCCTGCTTTATAAGAAGCTTGTAATGCAATTATTTTTGTACTTATATGCAAGGAAGGCTTATCCCATGGTCTAAATATTTAAAGTGGAAGTCAGGTAATCTGTTTTAATTTCTAGTTCTGGCCTTATTTTAGTGCATGATTTTGAGCAAGTGGCTTAATGTGGAAAGAATATTGTCCTAACCATACAGAGGTGTTTAACACTAAATTATTTGCTGTGAGGTAATAGAAAAATCTTAAATTTTTTCTTCTTTTAAGCACATTTAAACTCAGAAGACTAGCATAAAATTACCAAACCCAGAAATGCATGCCTTAACTTTGTCTCTTTAGGATGATAATGCATTTTCTCAGGATCTTAGTTTCTGAGGCTTTATCAGGGAAAGTTCCAAGTGTAATGATCTCTCTAATTATCTTCAGGTCAAGTGCAACGAGCAGCCTAACAGAGTAGAAATTTATGAGAAAACTGTGGAAGTTCTGGAGCCAGAAGTCACAAAACTGATGAATTTTATGTATTTTCAGGTAAAAGGAATGGAATCAAAATTTGTCAGTAGGCTTGCATTTTTATATTCCTATTTTGTGTGCTTGATATTGTGTGCTCAGATACTGAACCTAGTCGTTATACTTTGAAAAAAACCCCACGTATTGTCTCACAGAAGGGCAGAATTTCCAATGCCTATCTTAAAAACTTCAGGTGATCTCCACTAAGACTTTGAGCATAAAATCAAAGATAATTGCATGTGGTCCCTACATAGCACGTGGGAACAGAGATCTGGAACTTTAGGAAGAAAGGAAATAGAAATATAATATGTGTCACGTGTATACACACAAATGTCTCAGCACAGAAACCATTTGTTGAGGGGTGAGGGATCCACAAGTCTGGACGAACACGAGAGCAGCAGGTGCAACTTTGCTCTGGCAATTCATAGTTGAGGCAAGCTAACCCAGTTGTTGTGACCTGCCAGCCACCCGAGTTACACGGGTGCTGGAGAATAGCGGTCTGTCTGGCTTTCTCCTCCTGTGCTGGCAGCTTGCCATTTGGTTCAGTGGACTGATGATGTTCCCAGGCGTTATTCAGAGGGAGCCAGAGCAGTTAGAGCCTACCAGGCTTGGAGCACACAGGAAGAGGAGACTGAATGAAATGCAGTATTTCCTGTCGTCTTCCCTAATTGGTGAATCTTACTGAGTACAAACAATCTCCTTTCATTCAAGGACATTAGTGCTCTAAAGTCAGAACAGATTCCTCTTTACATTCAAAGTTGCTGTCTTTTTTTGTACTTGTAATCTCGATCTCAGACAGCCCTGATGCATGCTTGGAAATAAGCCCTCCAATAAACATGTGCCAGGATGATTTTGAGAGTTGGCATGTACAGTGTGCTGTGATTTTTTTTTTTTTAAGGGAACATACCTTTTGATGCATATACACTTCCTCCCTAAAGAGCATGAAATCACTTGTTTCAAAGGGATTTTAAACTTTTATGACTTTAATCTGAAAAGAAGAACCTAGCCTCTTGTGCCAAGCAAGCTTTGTGGCAAAAATCATAGGTTACACTTGTAGCACACAGCAAGTACACAGAGGTGGAGCTGAAAAACCTGTGCTGATGCCTTGTTAGCCTTGCATGCTTTAAACATTTTTCTACTTCAGTGGCACTTTTCATTGGACCAACTCCAGTTTCCTGGAAATGCCATAGCTTTTACTCTCTGTTTCTTCTCTTTTTTCTTTTTGTTTCTTTCCCCCAATAGAGAAACGCGATTGAACGATTTTGTGGGGAGGTGAGACGCTTGTGCCATGCGGAGAGGAGAAAGGACTTTGTGTCTGAAGCATATCTGATCACGCTGGGCAAATTCATCAACATGTTTGCAGTATTGGATGAGTTGAAAAACATGAAGTGCAGCGTGAAGAATGACCATTCAGCCTACAAGCGGTAAGTGCAAGGAGTAACAGGATGTGGGTTTCTACTGCCAGGATACAGGCCTCCCACGAGATGGCAGCAGTTGCTCTTTTTCTGACAACTTTCTCTTCAAAAGTAGTCCCTTTACGTGGGACCAGATTTCCTTGAAACTAGGGATGCATTGGCTGCACTTAGGCAGTTCAGTAAATCTATTTTCTTTATGCTGTTCTTCCTGCATGCAGCAAAAGGTTCTTCTGCCTCTTAATGCCATGCTGTCAAATATTTCTGTCTTAGTATATGCTAAACATAATCGTAGAGTCATATTTTCTTTATGCTGTTCTTCCTGCATGCAGCAAAAGGTTCTTCTGCCTCTTAATGCCATGCTGTCAAATTTCTGTCTTAGTATATGCTAAACATAATCATAGAGTCATGGAATCACAGAATGGTTTGGGTTAGAAGGGACCTCAAAGATCATCTAGTTCCAACCCCCCTGCTGCGGGCAGGGACACCCTCCACTAGACCACGTTGCCCAAAGCCCCATCCAACCTGGCCTTGAACACTTCCAGGGATGGGGCATCCACAACCTCTCTGGGCAACCTGTTCCAGTGCCTCACCACTCCAACAGTAAAGAATTTCTTTCCAACATCTAATCTAAATTGACCCTCCTTTAGCTTAAACCTATTACCCCTTGTCCTATCACTGTAATGAATATACTTTGCTCAATAAAGCTATTATTTTTAAGTTTGAGAGGAAACTGGCTTTCTGGTCACTTGTGCTACTCCTATCCTATTCTGTTTTTGGCATCCACTTTTGACATTTGTAGTTGAGAGTTGTTACGCTTGTTCTTAAGATGTTTCAGCTTTGCTGTTTGATGTCATTGTGACCACAGGTGCAGCAGGGAGGGGAGGAGGGTGAGATATCAGTGGCCAAGTTTTGTGCTTGAGCTGCGAGATGGAATCGAGTATCTTTTGTTGAACATGGTGGTCAGAGCAGCAGGGGAAGACAGTCTTTATGTCAGCTGTAGCATCTGTGGTCTTTCATAAAGAGAACTATTCAGGCAATTACTAGCCAATTTTATCTACGCTGCTTCCACTTACATGAGATTTAATATCCACCTCTACCAGTAGTTGCCTTTTGTAGTTGTTGTTGTGCCTGGAGACCTTTTAAACTTTCTTGGTTTGCCTTTCTTTTTCTTTGGAGGCATGCTTCTAGAGGACAAACTGTTTTCTGGAAGGCTGACTTTTCCTGGATTGTTGCATGGCTTGGGTCTGTAGAGCCACTGCTGTCCCCATCAGTTGAGGGATATACCCAATTGTTTTTGGTTTGGGATGGATTTTAACTAGGGTGCAGTGGGGGATTTGGGATTGAAAACAGTTCATTTGGGATAAATTAAGTCTATCTTCTCTTATAATGAACCTTTCTTTTCAATTGTTTTCTTAAAAAACCTTCTCTTCATCTTTTACGAAATAGGCTTTTGATGTAGCTTTGTTGAATCCATAGCCTGGGTTTGGATAACTCGCTTTTAAAAAGCTGTGGCAAATAAGTACTGACCGTGTCTGCCAAGTTCTCTTTCTGCTCAGTTCAGGAGTTTGGAAGTGGGAGGTGCACTGAGGTTGACAATCCTGTATGAGCAGCGAATGATACACCGTTGTACTAGTGCTTAAAGATGTGCTGTCAGCTTACAGTTCCCCTGGCAGACTTGGGGATGGGTGTGTTCCTACTGAGAAGGGATGGATTTGCTTACAAGCAGGCCTGCCAAAGGGAAATACTGGTTTTTTTCTTCTGTTTTCAAAGAGCTGCTCAGTTCCTGCGGAAAATGGCAGATCCTCAGTCCATTCAAGAATCCCAGAACCTCTCCATGTTCCTTGCCAACCACAACAAGATAACACAAGTAAGCTTTTGCAAAGTACTTCATACTTTACGGAACTATTAAAATAAAACTATTCCAGTTTGGTAGTAACTGTTGTTCCCCAGGGACTGTAACTACTCGACTAATATCCTTTTCTTCTTTTTTCCCAGTCTTTACAGCAGCAGTTGGAGGTGATTGTTGGCTATGAAGAGCTGCTTGCAGATATTGTGAATTTGTGCGTGGACTACTATGAAAACAAAATGTATCTAACTCCCAGTGAGAAACATATGCTTTTGAAAGTAGGTTTCTTTTGGGTAAAAATAAAAAAAAATGATTGAGACAGGACACAGATGTTTGAATTCCTGATTGTGGGGTTTTTAAAAAAGAACCAGATTAACCAAATAAATTATTGCTTTTTCTCCTCCCACCCCCCCTTGTCTTTTTATTGTATTACATGCTAAATGTATTGAGAAAGTTTCTAATCGGTTTTTGGTTTTCATAAATTGAAGTTGACCCAACTGAACTGCTGCAGCCTTGCTAGAAAACCAATTCTATGGAATTGTGTTTCTATGAAGTATAATAACAGCAGAAAAGAACTACTGTGTTTTCTTTTTAGATATGTGGCAAGTTTGTATAAGAAGCTTTTGAGGGTGAGGCTGTGTATCAAATATTTCAGGGAAAAAGCTTAAAATTAGGGTTAGTAAGCAGCTAAGCTTAGCTAGCTGGAATATGTACATGTAATAAGAGCGTGCTGGGCAATATGAGGTGTGGTTGATATTATCAGCTGTATGTCTTGCAGTGCAAGAAAAGGTATAGAGTAAGAATTGAAAATTTGCCTCATGACAAATATTTTAAGTCACTTCAGCATTTAACTTCTGAAGAGCTCTGTTTATTAGGACCAAATAGAAGGATCTTGTAACCACACACAAACTCTAGAACAGTTGCATTCTGTCTGCAGGAATGTCCAATGTGTCTTTCATATTTAGGCCTTTTGTTCAGTAAATGCATGTTTAGAACACATTAACTGGCTCATGCTCACCTCCTGCTATTGTAAATACTGAATTATGACTTTATGTTAATGAATAACTTAGACAAAATGTAATTAGATTTTTTTTGGATGCTTCTGAGCTCTTGTGTGTATAATTCACAGATGCGCTGAAAGCTATAAAAAGCAATAGCTCGCAGATGTTAGATCTAAACTTCTGTTACAGATCAGTTTGCACATAGAGAATTTTAATCAAATGGAAGTGGAAGAAATAACTGTCTAAAAATAGCCAGACACTAGTTTTAGTGAGATTTTTTTGTATGGTAGACCTTTGTAAAAACAAGTATCATCTTTTAAGGATAACCAATCAGGCTAATGTTAATGTAAAAACTACTAATATATA